GGAGGCCGCCGATCCTCTGGCATCGAAACTCAACAAGGTGCACCATACTTAACCCCTAAAAGCCTTTCCATAAAAGGAAACTGGAAATTAATGTGAGAGATAATGTTGGAGTAGTGCTTTTGAACAGAAAAAGAGGGAAAGGGACTGATTATTGCTGTTTGCGTGCATTTCAAGTTTACGGCTTAGTCTAACTTATTTACTGTTCATATTATTTCATATTATTGGCAACATGGCAGCAACCGCTGCTGAAGCCCTTCTTGTGCACATGCTTTGCTTTTAATAGGTTATTAAAAGATAATAAACTAGTGTTTAGGGAGTGCTTGTACTAGGTTGTTTATTAATCATTAAATGAATGCATTTTGTCCAACTTAGGTGACCCAGCTGACGGGCTTCTCAGATCCAGTCTATGCTGAAGCCTACGTTCATGTGAACCAGTATGACATTGTGCTGGATGTGCTGGTGGTCAATCAGACCAGTGATACTCTTCAGAACTGCACACTTGAGCTGGCCACTTTAGGTTAGTGTAGTTTTTTCAACTTCTGTGAAAATATGTTTTTTTTTCTCTCATTTAAGCTGTACACATTTGGGTTTCTACTATAATGTAATTCAACTTTCTGTCCTGCAGGCGATCTTAAGTTGGTTGAGAAGCCTTCACCTTTAACTCTGGCACCTCATGATTTTGCTAACATCAAGGCCAATGTGAAGGTGGCATCAACAGAGAATGGCATTATATTTGGAAACATCGGTAAAAGAATTTTTGACTATTTTTAGCATCACATCTCAAGTCACACCTTTTTTTCTTTCTTTTTTTTCTCTAAATGCATTTTTTAAATTAATTGTGGGGATGTCTGGATTCTTCTTTTCAGTCTACGATGTGTCAGGAGCTGCTAGCGACAGAAACTGCGTTGTCCTCAGCGACATCCATATTGACATCATGGACTACATCCAGCCAGCCTCCTGCACTGATGCAGAATTCAGACAGATGTGGGCAGAGTTTGAGTGGGAAAACAAGGTAAACTTAAGGGGTTAAAACACATTCCTGAAAGCTGACTCGTTTTGCAAAAAGTGGGACATGTTAAAAGTTCTCTCTCTCTCGCTCTCGCTCTCGCGCTCTCGCTCGCTCTCTCTCTCTCTCTCTCTCTCTCTCTCTCTCTCTTTTTTTAAATGGGTTTAGTTGATGCACATTCAACTAACATTGAGCACTGATTGTCCTTTCTTTATTGTAGGTGACAGTGAACACCAACATCACTGAGCTGAACGAGTATCTCCAGCATATCCTCAAGTCCACCAACATGAAGTGTTTGACTCCTGAAAAGGTTGGTATGAGAACATTTTGTAAACCACAGACTAAGGAAAGTAAACAACCTTTTAAATCTTGGCAGCTTTCCCAAATACAAATAACAAGGGTAATTAAAATTTTTGGCACCAGTGCACATCGGAAAGAATCATTAGCGGCCGTATAGCAGGATAGTTTCTTGTGCTGACTATATAAAGAATATATGTAAACATAAGACATGCCAGTGCTTCCTTATAAGATGAATGTGCAGATACTGTGATGTTGTTTGTTGTTCTTAACCAACGTTCTTCTCTCATAAACAAGGCTCTGTCTGGCTTCTGTGGCTTCATGGCGGCCAACCTTTATGCTCGTTCTATCTTTGGAGAAGATGCCCTGGCTAATGTCAGCATTGAGAAGCCTTTCCACCTGGGGCCCGATGCACCTGTCAATGGACACATACGCATTAGAGCTAAAAGTCAGGTAGGTCACAGCTGCCACACCGTGAACTCTTAAGAATCTGAGAGGTAAAGGCTAGGTGGACTTTATTTCCCCTCAGTAAAGCAATGCATCCATTTGTAAAAATATCACATGACTGATTTGATTTGAAATAATTGATCAGTTCTGCAAGTATTTGCACAGTGACACAGTTTTTGCCTCTCTAAAGTACCCCAAGTGTGGACTTTCATCCTTAAATGCACGCAGTTAACAAAAAATTTGCATTTATTAATCTCCAAATGCTGATGGATTTCACTGTATTTTAAATATGCTAATATGTAGCATGTGTCGCAGCTAACCCTCTTTCCTTTGTTCCACAGGGGATGGCCCTGAGTCTGGGTGACAAGATCAACCTCTCCCAAAAAAAGGCAAATGTCTGAAACAGCTGCTGTTCTGTGTCGCCTAACTTACTGTTTGATCATCGTCATAGCAGATATGAACTATTATATGGTCAGTTACTTCTGTGCTCTATATTTTTTAACATCACCTCTTTCTGAAAACTACATCTCAGCAATGTGCTTTCGCTGTCCTGTTTCATTTTCAATAAATGTATTGAAATAATGTCCAAAAGATGCTCTGTGGTGTTTTCATTGAGTTAAGAGCCTTTTTTTCTTATTAAAACCTCATTATTTTTATTTTTTATTTTCTTTTTTTTTTCAAAATAGTGCAATTTACAAATGAAACTTAAGACAGTATATGCAAAAGATAGGGAATTCCAGTTCAATTCAGTAAGAAAAGGGTAAAAAAATTCTCTAGTACCTCCCAGAACCACTAAGGTTCATATTGAATTTGATATTCTTAAAGGCATAAGACGGAAAAACATCCAAACTAAAACAATGATCTTTAAATAAGTGTGTACCCTTTTTATAGGGTCAGTATAAGGCTTCCTGGGGTGACTGTTGATGAGATTTGGTGCTTTATAAATAAAATTGAATTGAATTTTGGAGATGGCAGGGAGGAGCAGTGGTTAGTAATAGGTTTGAATCAGCTGGCTGGAGCCTTTCATTGTAAAGATTCTAAATTGGGCATAGGTGTGAGTGTGACCGGTTGTCTGCTTGTCCCTGTGTTATCCCTGTGACAGATTAGCAACCTGTGCAGGGTGCACCCCACCCACTGTGACAGCTGGGAGCATCTCCAGCACAACGGTAACCCAGAAATGTAGTTGGACTGTATGCCTTCTTTTGGAAAATATGGAAAGTTGTGCTGTACCTGCCTTAATGTGCATGACAGTAGATGTTTAGTAATAATCTTTAAAGAAGCTGTTACAATTACCTAAAGGACGTTGTGCCCCAAAGTGAAGAGAGTGTCTAGCTTGTGATGGTAGCTCTGGGATCTAATTAGAATTCCTCAGATTCCTTCCACAATATCTCCCACAGTGGGGTAACTGATTGGAATTTGTACTGCCAGTACCTCTAAACTGACGACATCACCTTGAAAATGTCTGTCTACATGCATAACCTGGGCAAGAACATAAATTCTTTTAACCTCAGGTAATATATTGCCAAGATTTGAATTGAACTCTGAGCCATCTGCAAGTTTCACTGTCAGCGTGATAATGAGATGGAGATAGATTAGTGCTGGCACAGGCCTCCATATTCCACTCGCCCTCCAGTTTATTATTTATGAGTAAAGGGATATTTCTGGCAGTAGGCCAGATTAAAGGGTCACCACCCCAGTCATACATTTACAGTATCTGTAAAAATCTCCCCCCAGGGTTTTTAGATAAAGGCTGAAAGGTGGCGTTGAGGTCAGACCTTCAACTGTGAAAATAAACAGCCAACTCCAACTGCCGTGTGCACAGCACAGACTGTCTGGTTCGGGTATAGTTATTATGAGAATCACAGCTACACCTTCTAACACAAGGCATGACTTTGGCATTGTGCTTTTGGGTGATTTTCTTGCTTTGCCACATCAATATGTAGACACAAAGTGTTCATGCTAAACACAGGATCACTGTCACAATTCCTCCAAATTTTAAGAAGGTTTGGGTGATATAATATTTTGTATTATATTTTAAAACCACTCTGGTACGACTGAAACTGACAGCACTCACCATGTAAACCATTTGGAGGGAGTCTTGATGCATGCTCAATCATCCAGGAAAGTAAATCTCCAAAAGTTGATTCTGCTCATCTGGACGTAGCGTTTTGTGGGAGAAACGTTTCGTCACTCATCCAAGTGACTTCTTCAGTCTCAGCTGACTGCAGGTTTCCCCAATCTTATAAACAGTACATTTGTATAATGACTTCAGTGGGCTAGTTTCAGTCATTCTGCAAATGTACTGTTTATAAGATTGGGGAAACCTGCAGTCAGCTGAGACTGAAGAAGTCACTTGGATGAGTGACGAAACGTTTCTCCCACAAAACGCTACGTCCAGATGAACAGAATCAACTTTTGGAGATTTGGAGGGAGTTTTTTTTTAAGGCCCCGCGTTTTCTCTTTTCTGACACTGGGTGGCGCCACGGGTCCCAAAGCCATGTGGTGTTTTATGTTTTGTTGTTGTTGTTGTTTTAATGCAGTTAAACATTGGATTTAGCACGAAGTGAGACACGATTTACGCGCTGACAACACAAGTAGGGACTTTTGCGCAATGAAATAAAAGGTTGTAATTTAGACGAACTGGTATGAGTCCGTTTCAACAAGGGAAAAAACAAAAAGAAAACACAAATCACAGTCCACCACTTTCAATTTCCACCTGCGTGATGAGTTATGACGCCGCATATAAAGTGCACACATGTGCGCATTTTATAGTAAATTGCGGGGCAGCAGCAGGCGTGTGTGCAGCGTGCAGAAATACTCCTGCAAACATCACTTTTACTGCATTTCCTCCGTTTGCTTTATCTGTCCACAAAACCTATTTTTCCCCACTGTGCTGGAAAAGGTTTTTTTTTTTTTTTTTTTAAATAATTGAATATTAAAATAAGTGATTTTTTTCTAATTAAATCTATCTAAAATTGGATGTCGCGCACAGCACAAATAAAATGTTTAAATCCGACTAAGCTGTGGAAATATTGTAGATAACATATCAAGAAACGTCACCCTGAGTTTGTTTTTTTTTTTACAGTTTTTATTTTTTTATTCATTGGACTGAAAAGTAAAGAAACTAGTAACTTCCAGCATGTTTAAACCATATTTACGTTGCGACGACGACGGCCACGGGGCGCGTTATCGCTGCGTAATTGGCTGTAATTACAGCGAGCAGACAGCGCAGAGCCATTTGAGGACAGGAATGTGACTGCAGGGTGCATGATATTAGTGTCAGGGCAGAGCTGCAGAGTGGGTTGAGGTCTACTTGCGTCGGTGTGTGTGCGTGCAGGAGGGTGTTGAAGCAGTTTGCAGACTGCCTCTAGAAACAGCCCCTAGCGTCAGACATCAGTATTAGCCTGGCTGATTACTCTTAACTATCGGATCAGCATCTTGAACGGTGCAGTGTTGGCGAGCCCGAAACGCGGTCAGGCGTATGGACAGTCGGTGGTAGCTCCGATCGGGATCCCTCTTCGTTTACATCCCTACAACTAAATAAAAAGAGAAAGGGGGGCTGCTGCACAGGCGAGACTGTTTCGGCACGTAGCTGGCCTCTGTATCTGCGTTCCGGTGCCTCCAACTACGAGGGCCTCTTCAGTTTACAGGGGGAAAAGTGGGTGTTTGCTGCTTCACTGGTGTTTCGGCAGCGGCAGCGGCGGCGGTGTCCTCGATGGCAGGCTGGAAGGACGGCTCGGTGCAGGAGAAGTATCGCCTGGTTGTGGTCGGAGGAGGTGGCGTCGGGAAATCAGCCCTGACTATCCAGTTTATTCAGGTCAGTAGCGGTAAACCTTGCAGTTGAAGCGAATGTAAGCCTCGCTCTGATTTCCACGCTCGCCCGAAAAAACACGGCCAAACAAGGAGGGAGAGGCCGGACACGGGTTCCGTCCGTAAACGGACACCGGGGTCTGTTTTTCCTCACTACTTTGCCGAGGCCTGCGACTGTCGGACGGATGGGGAGGTTTTGGAGAATTAAACGTCTGTCACTTTAACGCGACGATTTCCGAGAGGACCACTTCCACTTTGCAGTTTGTACAGCCGCTAGTCATAAGAGAAAGGAAAGTGGGTCTTTGGAGCTTAAAGAGTTGTCCTATTTTCTTGTACCTAAGTTTCCCTACAAAGTAAAGCAGCGGATTTAGAGTTCGTGCTAAGTTGTTAGAAGTCCTGTGATTTTCTTTGAGAGGGGGTGCACTGGCCCACCAAGCCACACAATGTAATACTTCAAATAGAAGGATGCAAAAGCTGTACAACGTTGGTACATTGGTGTCTCTCTGTGTCACTCTCAAGAGGAAAAAGTGCGTTTGAGTTCTTTTTAAGTGCCACCAAAACGGATCCTCCAGATCTCACTGGAAATATGTGAACTAGACAGAGAAAATCCGTTCAGGTTGGGTGACTGTAAAATAAGCAGCAGCTGCACAAAATGTCCAGTGAGAGATGATTAACTTTTGTGCTCTGATGCAGAGTCTCACCAGGTCTGCTGGTTAACCTCGTTTCAAGCTGAAACCAAAGGCAAGCAAGCGCACTAATATAGATAATCTATAGAAATGAAAGGTTGCTTCCACCACTCTTAATCAGTTTTACAGCAGCCTGCTTGAAGAAAACTTGCTGGGTGTCACATATAAAAGGCGTGTAAACAGTTTACCTCCCTGTAATGCCTGGTTGCATTCCAGCACAGTGCAGACACTGCTCTGACCTTCCAGGCTTTCATAATCGCCATTTAGGAGAGGGCCCAAACACACACACACACACACACACACACACACACACACACACACACACTGTAAGAAAGAGATGACATTCTTTGCCCTTTGCCTTGTGTGTGTGTGTGTCCCCACCATGGTGTCACTGTGTTACTGATGCTTGCTCTGGATTGCAGGAGACAAGACAGGCAGGCAGCTGTGTGTCTCCACACTGACAGACAATAGTTGGGGGGGTGGATTGTGAAGCTTGTGAGCAAATGTGTGTGTTGGGTGGGTGGGGGAGAGTTGTATCCTAATGAGGGTTCAAAAAGCTCATTAACTGCATACCAAGTAGGAAGGGATCAGATAGACCTGAACTGGGTGGAAACACTTGAGATGTTATGGTAACACCACTGGAATAACGCTGATAATGTCATTGTGAATTTTCTCATTTGTAGTTTTGCTTGTCATATGTAATAATCGTTTAAAACGTGCTTCATATATGCACGAGGTGGGCCTGGATTTAGTAATAAAGTTTTCTCTAAGGTCTCACAGACTCATTTTCAAATCAGCTAACTGACTGCTGACTGAGGATTTTGCTTGGATGTCCCCTTTTCAGTTAATCACCGTGTGTGTTTTTCTTACTGCCGGCTTGCATGTCTTGTGCCGTGATGGTGATAGAAATAGTAGGGTTAGGGGAGAACTGACAAACTCTTCAGAGGTTTCAAGAAGTCGCCTGCTGTGCTGTGTTGGGGTGGACCTGACAGCTGATTGTGAAGTCGAGGCGATACTCAGAACTATGCTGAGTGTTGTGAGTTTGAGGGTGTGTGTGTGTGTGGTGGTGGGGTGGGGGTGGAGGGGTCGGAGGGTGTCTGAGTCAGCCTGGATGGGTTAATGGTCACGGACCATGTGGAATTTGGCCCTTTGGCAGAGGAAGTCCCTCTACTGCTGCTCTTAGGGCCTCCTAGTTCTGTATGGAAAAACATGACCTGCTTCCTGAATCACTGGAATTCTGTGCACGTGTCCGTTTGTGTGTGTGTGTGTGTGTGTGTGTGTTAGTTGTCACTTTGACTAGCACTAATTTTAGTTTTATGTGTTTTACCAAAAACATAAAATACTCGATGAAGTGACTGCAAGTGTCTCAAGTCTCAATATATCCCAAATACCCTTCTTTGGTTAGATTTCTCTTTAGCAAACGCTCTTTTTCCACTAATAGATTTTTCCTACATTGCTCATTAATGTGCTTTTAATCACCTTCATGGTATGAAATATTGCTCATAGTTTTAGCCTCAGCTGCTGGTGAAACAGGTTAACGTCATTTATTATCTTGTCAGTAACCCTCTGAGGTCAGAGTCGTCATCAGTGACAACTCCAACCCTAACCCTGACCCACATCCTGTACTATCAGAACTTGTTGTTCTACGGTTTCAAAAAACAATTGTTCCCTCAAGTGTTTGGAATTGGGGAACAAAAAAAAAGTTTGGATTTCTTTAGAAAAGTGCAGTGGGTTATGGTTAGGATTGGGGATCATGACAGATTAAGACTGTGACTAGAAGATCTACTTCTAATAAACCAGTAACAATGAGATATTTATGGTATTTTGTTATCTACTTCCATTGGATCCATATATTTAGATCATCCTCTTGTGGCATCACAGTTTAGAATTTTGTTTGTGTGCTGAAATGTTTATCGTTGTTGTTCGTGTGTTGGGGTGGCTGTGGGTGACCACAATGCACCAGCACAGTAGCATTTTTAAAAGCACTTCGTCAATGTGGCCAATCATCTGATGTCAGCTTTTATATTTATTCCGCGAGCACATTTTAATCACTTGCTAGTCCTAAGGTGTATTAGCTAATGTTGATCTTGAGGTTCCCGAGCAGCTCAAATAAAAGACTTTTTGGGGAGTCAGAACATGAAAGATGATGTCGCTAGCAATAACAAAGAGTGGCAGGTCCCTGGCTGCTGGCCACCCTAATGCCAAGCATTAGACTCAAGTTGAAATAGCGTTAGGATGACATAACATTGAGTCATCTGACAAAAGTTGTTGAACACTGCGTGTTGTTTAATGTGACGTCTGCGGGGCAGGAAGCATCCCAAGTAAGGGAAAAGATGACTCACATTAGCCATGTGAGCACTGCATGTGGGTTGCGTCTGTGCCTTTTTTGTGCCTGAAATAATGGTATATTAGAAACCCTTCTCAATTTACTCTGGGTTACCAGAGAAGCCGCCAGCATGAGACAGCTCTAGAAATGTTGAGGTGAAGCGTGGTGTTGTTTTCTCACATGCTTGCTAATATTAGCATGATGGCAGCCCCTGGCCATGGAGATTCATAAATGAGAGCAAAACATCCTGACTGATCAAGTCCAGACAGATTAGCTGAGGATTTATGTAGACCTCAGCTGGATTTACAGCTAAAGCACGTGTTCTCCAGTTTCTTTAATACACACCCTCATTACATGCATCTCTCATAACTTCTAAAATGGATTTGATTAGTCAGATATGAAAACTTTCAAGAGACATGTTGCCAAAAGTAGCAGCTCAGTAGGGGAAAAAAAGGCTGGATTATGAGGGCAGCAGCCCTGGTTGAGCATGTGGAGGCAGGATATGGCTGTAATAGTAGTGTTTGAGTAGAAATGTGGAGGGTGCCATTTCAGAAACAGCCACAGGTGTCTGGGCTTTGCAACAATGTTTTGGTGAATGTGTGTTTTGAGAGATTGTTTTATGTATTTCCACACAGTGCATGCTCTCAGCCCATTTTTAAATACGGGCGGTTTGTAGCTTTTTGTAGGGCTTAGTCATATGCCAAATACCATACCAATGAGTGCAAACAGCTCCATTCACTGGATATTCTGACTGGTGTTTTTTCTTTTATAAGGAAGTTTATGTCTTTTTGTTATGTCTCGTGCAAGCTGAGGATTATATTTGCTTTCAGATGCAGACACGGACACCTGCAGACACCAGACAAGTAGTTATTTCTGTCTGCTTTTTCAAAGACCGCTTGAAATTTTCCTAATAAACTCCACTCGGCTTTGCTTTTATGAACTTTGGGATGCCTCCATAGGCAGAGGCGGTCATTTATCAATTGAAAAATCGATAGGTCAGCGGTTTGATACCCGGCTGCTCCAGTCTAGACATTGAAGTATCTATAGGCAATAAAGTGCTGTATGTGTGCATGATTGCATTGGCTGTGGTAAAAAGTTCTTTGACTGCTTAATTAAAGTAAAAAAAAAAAAGTGCTTTATACAGGGAAAGTATAACATTCTCCTAAAACTGACCAGTATAACAGTAAACTCATTTTAAGTGTAGGATGTGGCAGATGTGTGTGTGTGGGGGTAGGTGAGGAGAATAACTGTTTGTTTAACACTATTGAGTGGTCACACCTTGGCTTCTCACAGAGTGGAGCCTCAGTGAGAGCAAATAAGCCCCTCAGTAACTTTCACCATAGACTCAATATTGAGTCATCTTATGTCACCCACTGGTTTGAGATGGCATTTTGGCTGCTGGAGTCTCCATTTCGGAGCTTGAAGTGGACATATTAACAGAAGAAGATTGTGATAACTTGCTAGCTTGGTTAGCAAAGCTAGAGGTGGGAATTACTAAAACCTGCCATAAGAATGTTGCAACCTGTTCAGTCTCCTTGCGATCAAAAGTAGTCATGAGTGTCCAACATGCAGAAGGTCTGGGCAACCGTTTAGTCACTACAAGTTGGAATTGTTTCTCCAGCCTCCGGATGATGCCTCTTATTTTTAAAACAAAATAGAAATGTGTATAAAATATTAGCAAAAGAAAATTTATCAGAAAATTATGGACTTCAAATTTCATGCAGCACTATCCCTCAGAAGTTTAATTGTAAACAATTGCCATAGACCTACTGTTTTTGCGAGCGGTTTCACAGCCTGTTTGTCTATGAATCATCAATCAAACAGACAATATTTGTGTTGTGTAAACAGCAGGCGGTGTGCACTCTATATCATAGCTGGCTGGAAAGAAAAAAATTAATAGTGGGTAGTTGTCATTCTGGTGGCTTACTGAGAGTCAGATTACTATAAGCGCTCAGTGCTACACTCACATCAATACCTGTTTCATGTTTATGAGTT